CAAGGATGCCCTTTATCATCACTGCTATTCAATATTGTGCTCGAAGTCTTAGTCAGAGCTATGAGACAAGTAAGGGACATTAAAGGCATGCAAACTGGCAAGGAAAAAGTAAAATCTTTCTATTTGCAGATCAAATGATCCTATACTTAGAAAACTCCAAAGACTTGGCAAGAAAATTATTATAACTCTTTGGTAGATTCAGCAAAGTGACTGAGTACAAGATCAATATACAAAAATCAGTTGGATTCTTTTACACTAATGAAGAGACCTCTGAAAAGGAAAACAATACCATTTATACTGGCCACCCAAAACATGAACTACTTGGGAATAAACCTAACCAGAGAAACAAAAGATCTATACAAAGAAAACTACAAAACACTACTACAGGAAACCTAAAGAGACCTTCAAAAATTGAGGAACATGCCATGCTCATGGACAGGAAGACTTAACACTGAAAATGTCAACTCTTCCCAAAGCAATCAATAGATATAATGCAATCCCAATCCAGATTCCAATATCATTCATTGCAGAGATGGAAAAACTAGTCACTAACTTTATATGGAAAGGAAAGAGACCCCAGATAAACAAAGCATTATTTAAAAAGACGAGCAAAGTAAACCTACTACAAAATCACAGCAGTCAATCATCTTGGTACTGGTATAACGAAAGACACATGGATCAATAGAACAGAATCAAAAACCCAGAAGTAAACCCATCCAGCTACAGTCGGTTGTTCTTTGACAAAAGGCCAAAATGCATTAAATGGGTAAGAGATAGTCTCTTCAACAAATGGGGCTAGAAAAACGGGAAATCCATTTGCAAAAGAATGCAACGAGACCTGTATTTCACACCATATACAAAAATGAATTCAACATGGATTAAAAAATAGGTTCAAACTGGGAGACTCTGATACATGGCACAAATACATTATCAAACATAACTGAAAATACAGAAACAAAAGACAAAATAGACAGAATCCTAAAAATTAGACACTTATGTGCATCAAGGACTCCTGGTATGGTTCTGTATGGACAACAGTTCAAACCCACCAGTTGCTCCTTGGAAACCCTCTACAGGATTGCTATGAGCCGGAACTGACTTGATGACACTTAACAACAGTGTGCATCAAAGGATTTCACCAAAAGAATAAAAAGAGAACCCACAGACTGGGAACAAAATGTTTGATGATGACATATCAGACTACTCTCTAAGATATATAGAACACGTCATGCCTCAACAAGAAGATGACAAATAATCCAATTAAAAAACGGGCAAAGTACACAAACACACACTTCACCAAAGAAGAAATTCAGGTGGCAAAAAATGTTTACAATCATTAGCTATCACAGAGATGCAAATCTGCATGAGATCTACAATGAGATATCATCTTACTCGAGCATTAACAGCAAAGTTTAAAAAATGGAAAACAACAAATTCTGGTGAGGGTGTGGAGAGACTGGGACCCTACCACACTGCTGGTGGAACTGCAAATTGGAGTATCCACTATGGAAAATGGTATGGCGCATTCTCAAAAAGTTGGAAACAAGAGATACTGTATGACCCAGGAAGCCCTGTACTTGGTATATATCTGCAAGAAATAAGAGTTGTAACTTAAATAAATACATGTATACCCATGTTCATCACTACAGCACTATTCACAACAGCAAAAAATATGTAGACAGCCTAAATGCCCATCAACAGCAGAATGGTTAAACAATCCTTGGTACATACACACAAAGGAATACTATGCAATGCTGAATAATGATGCATCTGCAAAACGTATTACAACAGGATAAATCTATAGGACAAAATGCTGAGTGAAATTAGTCAATGACATAAGGACAAATATTGTATGAGACCATGTTTTAAAAAGTTAAGGTAAGGTTTTCTTGATAAAAGAAGCATTCGATGATGGTTACCAGAGCAGCTTGCAGAAGGAGGAGGGATGATGGGAAAATTATCCACCGACTGGAGGGCTGCTGTTAGGAGTCCTGGTGTGGCGCTGCGGGTTAATGCAAAGCCATTTGAACTGCAAGATCATCGGTTTAAGCTCACCAGCTACTCCTCGGAAACCCTGTACAGGGTCACTAGGGGTCAGAACTGACTCAATGCACTTAACAACAACAAAAGAGGGCTGCTGTTGAGTTGGGTCCAACGCATAGCAACCCTGTATAGGGTTTCCGAGTAGCAACTGGTGAGTCTGAACCATTGACCTATTGGATATCAGTTTAGTATTTAACCCACAGTGTCACACCAGGGTAGATACATGTTAGCATGGGTTGTGGGACAGGTAATATACAACAAGAGGGAGGCTGGAAGAGGAAAGATGAAGATAGCAGGATACAGGGAGGAATGCAACACTTAAAATGATACAGGCAAATGCTGTTAACTACTGGTATACGGAGGGAATTGCAACCATGTAATGAAGTAAATGAACTGCAAGGTTCAAGCTCACCAGCTGCTCCTTGAAAACCCTATATAGGGTCGCTATGGGTTGGAATCGACTCAATGGCACTTAACAACAACAACAAATGAAGTATATGGTTTGTTAAATGTAAAACTGATCAGGTGCTATCTACACCTTCACTCAATTCACAATAAAAAGTTTTTTAAAAAATTCATGGATGTACAAGCACTTCACAAATGTTAATTATCTTATCCTGAATGAAGAAAACAGTCAAACCCTGAATACTTAATACTATGTTGATTTCTCACTTGAGTATTAAAAAGGTTGGGAACTCTGAGTACAAAGGTAAGCTGATTAGGGACGACAAGATATGCAGGTTGGCATCCACCTACACACTCTAATTTATCTTGGTCTAGATGGAGTCCTGGTGTGGTGCTGCAGGATAATGTACTGGATTGCAAGGTCAGTTTGGACTGCAAGGTCAGCAGTTCAAACCCAACAGCTGCTCCTAGGAAACCCTATATAGGGCCTCTATGGGTCGGACCGGGCAGTGTTTCGTTCTATTGTGTCGCTATGAGTCGGTACCCACTTGATGGCAACAACATAGGTCGGAACCAACTTAATGGCACTTAACAACAACAATAACAATGACTAGAAGATCCAGGAAAATGTACTCTTTATTGCTATGTAAGCAATCTGATTAAAGGATCATGTAATTCTGCAAATTCTGTACAAATCGATAGGAAAGAAAATTTAACTAGTGAAATTTTTATAGGAAATACGTTTGGCAATAGAAACTTAGATTAATCAAAGAACATAGCTTTATTCCTGTTTCTCCTCTTAACGAGTCAAAATTTCCTTCTCCATCAGGTTCTTGCTCTCAATAACTGAAAGGACAGCTATGGGATCAAATCAGAGAATGGCTACAGAAGGGCTCTGTATCATAGTACCAGGACTGACTCTGGCAAATCTTCACATTTCACCTAAGCTGTCTGTGGGGCACAGAACCTAGTTTTAGCCCTGAAGATGGCCCCTGCCCTTGGCTCTGCAGATAATCCTTGTTGTAATTGGAATGTCTAGGTCTGAAACTCCCCAGTCACATCTGAAGATCTTTGCTATTACCAGCTACTAAAGGTTGGCAAAATAAGAAAAGACTCATTCATTGATAGCCTTAGGAGGCCTGATTTAGTCTAGGACCAGGACTATCGTACAGAACCCCTAAACACTAGAGCTTAGGGAGTTTTCTGGTTGAGAAGAACGTTTGCTCTTGGGAGTATAGCACATCCTTTGGGATGTGGAAGCTCCACACTGGAAATCAACCCAGATCTTGCCCTGTATGTCTCTTCATTTGTGTCCATTTTTTTTGCTATAATAAATCTGTAGTCATAAGTATGGTTTATTCTCCATTGATTCTTTAAGTCATTCCAGCAAATTATCAAATTCAAAGCAGCAGTGGGAACCAGGAGGTGCTGTGTGGACTCTGAGCTTGCAACTGGCATCCTGAAAGGATAGTGGGAAACCAACCTTGAATTTATGATTAGCAGATCAGAAAGCTGGGGTGTTGTGTAGATTCCCCAAACTCTGCCTACTTGACCATCTGAAGAATGGTGTCCTTTTAACTTGTGAACATTGATCTAGCTCTGCGTAACTAGCTAAGCTCAGAGAGAGAGGGAGAGTTTACTGAGGGGGTGGGTGTCAAGGAGGATGCAGAAGGAAGAATATGTGGACTGGATCAATCTCCATTATTACAGGGATTGGATTCATGCTGATCCTTACCACACAATGCCACGATATGCTAACAAGAAAATCTAATTTATTATTGCAAATTCATTTGACTTTTTGTGCTGGCAAATCCACTGGTGAAATTTTTCCTCCAGATAAGCATCTACAACTACAAATTCAAAGAAACTTATACACATAGATAATTATAATGATCCTTTTTGTAATAGCAAAACCTTAGAAACAGATTCAATGTCTATAATTATTCCCTGGAGAAATAAAGTATGGTACTGGTGGTATTTGTGGAGGGATAGGCAGATGGGGTCAAGTATGGAGAAAGGGTAGTCACTGAATACCTTAAGAAAAAAGAAAAAAAGATCAGGCTTACTAGAGGAACCTGAGGCTGTGGGCTTTGACCACCCTTCAGGTCTGGAAAGGAACACACCCTCTTTCAGCTAAGCAGTACACAGTTAGAAAAGGGGAACAACTTTCAGCCAAGCAGTAGACAGGTATATAGGAGGACCAACAACATTAGTAAGACATACTCACTATGAATGATGGAACAGCCAATCATTCAAAATCAAAGGGGCAACATATATCTAAGGACAATGGTAAGAAGGGATGGGAAGATGGGTGAAAGGGAACCAGAAGTCACAGGGAGGAAATGGATGTCTGCTGTTCCACAGAGGGGACTGCAATCACTGAGCTGAAATGAGGTGTATGATTTGTTTAATGTAAAACTCATGATCTTGTCTGTAAAACTTCACTCAATTCACAATAAAAAATTTTTTTTTTAATTGAAAAAATTTTTGAGCTACATGAGCATCTTCAGAGATTAAACAAATGGTTGACAGGAGAGGGAGATGTCACTTACCTTTAACGTCCAGAAGGTGGTATCCATCCCAGCCCCAAGATTCAGAATTTGACAATTACATTCTGTCTTCCATAGAAATGCCTTTATAAGCTGACTGACACCGAGAACTCGAGCAAAATATCCTAATAGGAGGTCAAGGAAACAAGCTATCACATAATGACAACAAAAATAATCCTTGCAAACCCCAGTACAATAGAGGAGCAAAATAGCAAGCATGTACCCTTCTCAAGTTCAGATTCATCGGTAGACATTATGGAAGTAACAGAAACTCTCAAATTCTCATCTTTTTTAAAAACTGGTTTGAACCAAAGGAAGGACAATCTGTTTCACAGAGAAATTAACTACTTTATTCTAAGAAAATAAAGTATCCAATAACTTTATATAGGTGTCCTGGGGAGGGGCTATAGGATAAGCACTGGCCTGCTACTCACATAGTCTGCACTGAAAACCCACCAGCCACTAGGAAAGAGAAAGATGAGACTTACTACTTCCATATAGATTTACTCCTTGGAAACTGTACAGGGTTGCTATGAGTTAGCAGTGAGAGAGAGAACTTTATGTATAAAAGGCAACTGTTTTACATCAAAATACTGGATGCAAATGTTCTTAGAAATATTCTCTTTATGGCTTTAGAGAAAGATATAAAGACAATCAGGTAAAATTCAAAACTGTTGGATCAATGGAAAATAGTATTTTAATTCAGGAAATTGGGCAGTGAATGTTAAAGAAAATAGTATGTGTTATCATTTTCCTTTCACCTATACTAATCGAATGATGATAGACTGTGTGCTGTGGAGTCAATTTCAACTTATCATGACCCTGTATAGAGTTTCGAACTGCTGTTAGTCTTTATATAAAGTGGCATCAGAGACATCTGGTGGCACACGAAAATGCAGTCATGGGTTGCTTTGTGTTGTTTTTGTTGTTAGGTAACTTCAAGTTGGTTCCTACTCAGAGATACCCTATGAACAACAGACTGAAACACCGCCCGGTTCTATGCCTCACAATCCCTGTCAACCTGGAGCTTACTGCTGATGCCACTGTGCAAATGCGTCACGTTGAGGGTCTTCCTCTTTTTCTCTGACCCTCCACTTTACCTAGCATGATGTCCACCCCCAGGGACTGGTCTCTCCTGATAACATGTCCAAAGTATGAGAGACAAAGTCTCACCATCCTGGCTTCTAAGGACCTTTCAGGCTGTACCTCTATGAACACAGAGGGACAGTTTGTTCTCCTAGCAGTTCATGATACTTTTAATATTTTCTGTAACAGAAAAGCTCAAATGGATCAATTCTTCTACGGTCTTCCTTATTCATGGTCCAACTTTCACATGTATATGAAGGTATTGAAAATACATGGTTTAGGTCAGGAGCACCTTAGTTCTCAAACTGACATCTTTGCTCTTGAGAACATTAAAGAGGTCTTGTGCAGCAGATTTACCCAATGCAATACGTTGTCTGATTTCTCGACTGCTGCTTCCATGAGTGCTGACAGTGAATCCAAGCAAAATGAATTCTTCAACCTTTTCTCCATTTATCATGATTATTGGTGCAGTGGTGAGGATTTTGGTTTTCTTTACATTGAGGTGCAATCCATACTTAAGGCTGTGGTGTTTGATCTTCATCGGCAAGTATTTTACGTCCTTTTCACTTTCAGCAAGCAAGGTTGTATCATCTGTATATTGCAGATTGTTAACAAGTCTTTCTCCAATCCTGATGCCATATTCTTCTTCATATATCCAGTTTCTCAGATTATTTGCTCAGTAAACAGATTAAATAAGTATGGTGAAAGAATACAACCCTGGCACACATCTTTCTTGAGTTTAAACCATTCAGTGGCTTTTTGTTCTATTTGAACAACTGCCTCTTGGTCTATGCACAGGTTCCTCATGAGCACAATTAAGTGTTCCAGAATACTTTCTCTTCAATGTCATGATCCACAGAAGAAAGTCTTTGCATAATCAACAAAGCACAGGTAAATATCTATCTTGAATTATCTTGTTTTCAGCCAAGATTCATCTAATATCAGCAATGATATCCCTTATTCCATGTCCACAACTGAATCTGGCTTCAACGTCAGGCAGTTCCCTGTCAGTGTACTGTTATGATTGTTTATGAAGTACCTTTAGCAAAATTTTACTTGCATGTGATATTAATGATGTTGTCCAGTGATTTCCGCATTCCACTGGTTTACCTCTCTTTGGAATAGGCACAAATATGGATTGCTTCCAATCATTTGGCCAGGTGGTTGTCTTTCAAATTTCTTGGCATAGATGAGCGAGTGCCTCTACTATTGCATCAGTTTGTTGAAAGATTTCAATTTGTATTCGTTTGATTCCCAGAGCCTTGTTCTTTGCCAGTGCTTTCAGTGTACCTTGGACTTCTTCCTTCAATACCATTGGCTCTTGTTCATATGGTATCTATTGAAATGGTTGAACATTGTCCATTTCTTTTTGTTACAGGGACTATATACATTCCTTCCATCTTCTTTTGATGTTTTCTGCATCATTCAATATTTTGCCCATAGAATCTTTCAATATTGAAAGTTAAGGATTAAATTTTTTCTTCAGTGCTTGCTGCTTGAGAAATGCTGAGCGTGTTTTTTCCTTTTGATTTTGTAACTCCAGGTCTTTGTGCACTTTTCATTACAATACCTGATTTTGTCTTCCCTTTCTGCCCTTCGAAATTTTTTGTTTAGCTCTGTTATTCCTCATTTTTGCCATTTCCTTTAGTATCTCTGGAGAGCATGTTTCAGACTCTCATTTGACATCCACTTTGGTCTTTTCTTTCTTTCCTGTCTTCTTAATGACCTTTTGATTTCTTCCTGAATGATGTTCTTGATGTCATCCCACAATTCTTCTGTTCTTCGGCCATTAGTGTGTAATTCTTGAATTGGTCTCTAAATTCAGATGGAATGTGTTCAAGGTCAAATGTGTTTCAATTTCTTCAGCTTCAGCCTAAACTTACGTATGAACAATTGATGGTCTGGTCCACACTGGTTTTGGCTGAAGATATGGAGCTTGCCACTGTCTCTTTCCACAGTGGTAGTCAATTTGATTTCTGTGCATTCCATTCGGTGAGGTCCATGTGTATATTCATCTTTTATGTTCTTTAAAAAAAGGTATTTGCAATGTACAAGCCATTGGTCGTTCTACCATGTGTTCTCCAGCACCATTTCTTTCATCACAGTCATACTTTCCAACTATTCTTCATTCCTTTTCTTCCCAATCTCCAGTTATTATCAATACATGATTGCATGCTTGATCAACTTCACACTGAAGAAATTGGTAGAGTTCTCCAGTTTCATCATGACTGGCTTTAATGGTTAGTGTGTAAATTTGAATAATAGTGGTATTCACTTGTCTTACTTATAGGCATATAGAAATTATCCTATCATAGACAGCATTATACTTTAAGATAGACCCTGAAATGTTCTTTATGATGATGAATGTGATGCCATTTCTTCAATCTGTAATTCCTGGCACAGTACACCATACAATTGTCAGATTCAAAATGGCCAATACCAGCTCATTTCAACTCATTATTGCCTAGGGTATCGATCTTTATGGATTCCATGTCATTTTTGACAAATTCCAATTTTCCTGGATTCATACTTCTTGCTGATTATTAATGGGCATTTACAGCTGTTTCTCACTTTGAGTTGTATCCCATCAAAAAATGAAGGTCCTCATCAACGGAGAAGAGCTGAGAGTGGGACCCTACCCAGAGAAACAGAGGTGCCTGAG